GCGCGGCAAGGGCCCCGAGGAGGCGGCGGCGGCGCCCGCCGACCCCAGCAAGTCCAAGAAATTCGTGAGTGGCGGCACGGGGGGGGCGGTTCGGYTCGGYTCGGTTCGGTTCCCGCCGCTTRTTCCCAGATTTGGGCAATATGCGCGCTTTCCTGCCGGTTCCCGGCCTTTCGGGCAGGTCCTGCGGGCCGGGCCGGTCCTCCCTTGCTGCCCCGCTGACTCGGGCGCTCCGGGCCCGTGGCCTCGAGGCCGCCCCGGTCCCGCCCTGCGGTCCCAAAGACACTCCTGCGCTCCTAGGGACACGGCGGAGGCTCTGGGAAGCCCATCGGGCTACTGCTTTGCACCAGTCACGGCTCCCTAAAGGCGCTCGCTGGGCAATACCCGTGTGGCAGGGGAGAGCAGTGAGAACAGTTCTCTTCAGRGCGCCCCTACGAACCTGCCCCTCTCCTTTCCTTCACCCCCAGGATCTGGCTCAGTTCTGCCTTCTGTCTGGTCTTGTCCCTTGTCGTAACCCGTTTCGTTGCGCTGGGAAGGCCCATTTCTTCCTCCTTTCCTCTGCTTTTCTTCCTCCCGAGCGAGACCCGTTTCCTCCTCCTTTTCCTTGYTTTCCTTCCCCTGCACCTGTTTTCCGTAACTGTTCTTGGTGGCAGTGCTTTTGCGTGCTGTGATTACTAGTTCACACTGTTGCTATGCTCAGCCTTTCCACCGGCTCTCCGTAGCGGAGCTTTCCGAGGCGTTTCTGGCAGCTCTGGAGTCTCTCCCGGCGCCGTTTGCATCCCTCGTGCTGCGACGGAGAGCAAGGGGCTGCTCCAGAGGCCGGGACGCGGGTCTGCCCGGCGCCCAGCTCCCCTCCGCAGCGCCAGGGCTCTCGGTGACGAAACTCCCTGAAAACGCCCCAAACGCTCAGCTGGATGTGGCGGGGAGGAAACTTGGCAGGGTGGAACTCAGCACCTCTGCTGCATCTCTCCGTGTCCTGCCTCTCTCCGAGTCCTGATGCGTTTCTAGATTGAGAAGAGTTAACCCTGAAACCTCATCCTGGCTATAACTCTCTTTTTCACTAATCTAGTGCTGATTCACATAAGACGTTTCTCATTCTCGTTTTTTTGTTTCTCCTGCTACTTTGGCAGTTTACGCAGGCAGCTGGCATAAAATACAGCGCTAGATTTATTCCCCCGTTATGTCTTACATGGAGGTTTATCTTTGTGTGCRTCAGGTTGGTTGGTGGTGGATGGGAGCTGAAATCCGAGCTGAGTGTTCAGCAGCCAAAGTTAGAAAATCGAGTTGTCTGACTATAAACGTAGGTAYTCAAGAGCCTCAAAATAAAAGGTGCTAAGTCCTTGGGTTAGCTCATTTATCCCATGATCCTGCATCATGTCCCCACCTCYCCGCGTGTCAAAAGCCGGAGCAGGATTTGCTCATCAGGAGGCATTTAGCCCGTGATCCRGAATGACATCCCCACCTCCCTGCGTGTCAAAACCCCGAAGGGATCCGTTTGCCTAACGTCCTGTGCCACCCTGTTTACTGTTTGAAAATCAGCTCTGCTGTCAACAGCGTTTTGATTTTTATTAATTTATGACTATGCAATATATGAAGTTACTCGGCTGTTGGCACTCTTTTRTTTTTACGTTTTGCTCAGTTCAGGCTTCTCGCTTGGAGTCGGAGGCTCTCCAGGAGCTTCCCTCTTCCTCCGGAAAGTTTGGAGCAGGGTGACAAGGTGCCAGACCAGCTCAGTGTGGACTAAACAGGATCTCGATTGTAGGTTTGTGGTTCCCGCGGGCTTGCCCTGTAGGTGTTTGGCTTCTGGAGCCTTTGGAACCACTTTTGCAGCTGATGATTTTTCCAAGCCTGCTCCTCTTTAAGGAAGGAAGAAGCGTTAAGCTCTAATCTCCTCCTTTAGCCTGTTGATCAGKGAGAAAGGGAGAAACCATCAGGCTCCAGGGAGATCATTTAAGAGCTCTTTTCCTCCTGGTTAGGAGGACAAGTTTGGGCTGGGCACRAGGGACCAGCCGACCCTTTTTGCTGCTGTTTTAGGAACACGATGGTGACTGTTACATGAGACCATAAAATCTCTCTTCCAGTTCCCCAAACTGTCAGATTGGGCAGCAGTTAATAATTAAAGGGCAAATTTTCCTTACARCACCTAGAAATAAGTTATGCTGCCTGTTCTCCCTGGCACCCRGAGGCCTCGGGAAGCGACCCGTGACTGCTGCCCTTGGTCCCGTTTTTGTCTCCTCTCGTCGCAGCCCCACGCGGGTTGACAGGCAGGTTCCCCGCTCCTTATTTTCTCTTTTTACTTGTGAAACAGGGAGATTTAAAAAAAAACAAACCAACCAACAAACCCGGGTGTTTGCAGCCCTGTTAGAAGGTGCCTGCAGTAGGGGCATGTACATTTTAAGCGTGCCCTTGGCTGACGGGTGTTAAAAATGGCCCTTTCCCCAGAGCAGGCCCATGACTAAGGCCTGACCCGAGGGAGGCTCCTTCCGYGGCCGCCCGGGACTTTGCTCCCCTCCTTGCAGGCTGCCCTTGTTCTTCCTGCCCATCCCACCCTGTTCCCCRTCCTCATCAGCAGGATCCCCCCCCTTGGGCTTCTCCAACTCAGCTCGGTCTTAGTGTGAAACCTTCTGTTCCTCCTTGGTGCCCCAGGGGTTTAGGAGGGTTTTTCTCTTGCTCTTCATTTGCTTTTCGCTTCCCTCCSTCTTTGCAGCTTTTTGCAGCTGTTTGGATCCCCGTCGGTGAATGAGGTAGCGTTTCGCGGGCCGCAGTAACCGTCTGACTGGCAGCACCCGCTGCTGGTCCCTCCCCAGGCTCCACAGGAGGTGGAAAGCCTCCTGTGTCACAAGCAGCGAGACGTTGGAGCGGCCGCGGGACAGCCCTTGGCGCTGGTGCCTGCGCACGCGGCGGCTCCGTTCGCTGCGGCAGCCGCTCGCGTTGGCTTCCTGCGCGGGAAACCGCAGGGCAGCGCRTGTCTGTTTTAGATACCCGGCGTGGGGGGAAGCTGCGCTTGCCTCCTCCTTGGCAGGCCGAGCTGAGCGGAGAGCCGCTGGGTTTGGGAAGAGGGAAYGGACGAGATGGGATGTGAGGGCGCTCCTCCGGTCTCGCTCCGGCCTCTGGCTCCACTTCAAGGCCCAGGTGCCCTTCGCAGCAAAAGCAGTTAATGTGGCTGTGAACTCACGCAGGAGGTTGGGGTGCTGGTGCGACACATTTGGGGGGTTCATTTTCATAAATAGCAATGTTTTGGGGCTCATTTGTATTTGTTACCCTCCTTGCGCTAGCTGGGAAAAGGATGGAAAAATTTCCCCCCGCTTTCCCTTCCTCGCTGCCCTGCGTTGGTGTCTGCAGCTGCAGCTGCTGCTCCCCGGGCCCATCCCTCGCAGCCCCGAACCCCACAGCGCGGGGGCCGTGGAGCACAAAGTCACCGGTGACTTGARCCTTGTGCTGGAGGAGCTTTGCCTGGAACCTCCGGAGATGCCAGAGCAGAGCTGGGTGAGGAGCTGCCGTCGGCGCGCGAGGTTTGGGCAGCCTGAAGCTGCCCGAGGAGGAAAGCAGAAGGATGAGGCGGAGCTACCCAGAGGGTCTCTGCTGGATGTGGGGAACGTTGCGGAGAGCATTGGGACAGGCAGAGAAGTCAGTCGTGGAGCTAATAATCCAGCTGAACAGGAAAGGCAGTTGTGTTGTGTTGCAAACCGCAGCGGTGCTGTAACAGCTGCCCTGCCTCCTGCGGGGCTGCAGCATCCGTTTAAATTCATTTGAAGGCTTTTCCTTTTCACAAGGGTTAGTCTGCGAGCTTCCCAAAACTGAAATCTCAGGATCATGATGATTTAATTTTATTAGGCAGCAAGGCAAAAAGATTCTTATCTCTCCCAGCCTGGAGCTCGTTGCTTTTTAAAGGCTCCCGTGTTACCGTTGGCTTTTTCTGCCCCTTTTCCATCACTCCATCTGTTCATCCTGCAGCCCCCAGCCCCACGTTCCTCCCACCAGGACTCCCCTTGGCATCTTCCCTGGAATTTCTCGCCAGACACATTGTGCGTTGTGGGAGTGACCCACACGCGGGTTGTTCGGGAGCCTCCGTGGTGCTTGGCTGATGGATGAAGAGCAGCAAGGGGTCAAAGCAGGGGGAGAAGGAGCTGACGTGATGGGGAAGGCGCCGCTTGCGTCAGCCGGGGCCGGTGGCTGCTCCTTCCTTCCCGTCCCYGCCGCTGTTTGGCGGCGCCCAAGCCGGCCGGGTGCGAAGCAGCAGCCCTGTTGTGTTCCCATAGTGACAAGTAAACAGCAGCCCTTGGGCACCGGGTGTTTCTTCCTCTCTTCGCAGAGCAACACCCCGGTGAGAGGCTCCCCGGCCAGAGATGCTGAAACGAGCCGGGTTCGGCTGAGGCTGGGGAGGGAGGGGCTGCTGATTCCCCAAAATGGGAGTTTTTCCTGCCGCGGAGCTGCAAGTGTCTGTACGCGCCGTCACAGACGGCTGTTGCCTGAAGATCCACGTGTTTCTCGTACAGCCACTTGGAGGAATCTTGTTCCCAGAGGAGCCACCTCGAGTACCTTGAAATGCCACCCCGGGTGTTTCAGTAATGCAAAAAAATGAGGTGTAGCTCTGGTCCGGATAGACACAATCCGCCCCTTTGAGAAGTGCCCAGGGGTGCCATGCCAAGCCTGGCTGTGCCACCTCCTGCCTCGTGTCGTTACTTGTTCCCTCCTAGCAGCTAAGGCACCCGGTCGGAGCAGCAGTGGCCTCAGAGCAAGGTAACCAGATGGGTGTCCGGGCCCTCGGAACGGGCTGCGTGCCTTGCTGCCTGGCAGCCACCCCGGGGTGCTGCTCGMTGAATAACGGGACCTTCGGGCCCTTCGGCACCGGCGTCAGGATTTATGGTTTTGGCTGCGGTCGCTCCAGCGCTGACGTTGTCAGCCGGGCAGGTCATCTCAGAGCTGCCTCCAGATCCGTTCCAGGATTCCTGCTCTGGGAGGGTGGCTCCATGAGCAGGCGGCTCYGGTGTCACCGGCCCCTTGAGCAGGAGCTCTGTTCCCAGACACACCTGGTCACCTCTCAGAGGGTTTGCACCCATTATACAT